CGCTTCAAAGGCTGCAGTGTGGAGACTGCATGTCATGTGGGAGCCACAGCAGCCTTGCCTGCAGACTTCACAGACAGCTGCTGCTACAATTGATCCTCGACCAGCTAGCTCTCAGTAGTCTCAGCCCTCCAATCGTTGAAAACTGCAGCATACATCTGACTCGAGAGCAGCATACATCTGACTCGAGAGCAGCATACATCTGACTCTAGAGCAGCGCGCTTGATAAGGAACCCGATATGGCCCTTATAAAAGTCGTGCTTGAACAAAAAGAAATGTGACACAAGCAGAGCAGATCCAAGGCTAGGAGAGCTTCATTAGGGTCAAGACAAAAGAAGGCTGTCTGTAATTCAATCACTTCCACATATAAAACCACCTACCCAGGAACAAACGCATACAGCGCGGGGCAAAAGGACTCAACTGTGCGTTTCTGTAAATAGAAATATAGGCAGTGATAAAGAGCGGGTGAGACAGGGAAAAACATGTGAAGGTAGGGAGGGTGGGAGTAGGAGAGGTCAGCGAGCGGCCACACCGAGGGAGCATGATGAGGACACCGTCAGAGCACAGCTTAACATAAAGTAATACTGTACACAGTAATCCCAGTGTTGTGGTTTAGAATGGTGAACTGCTTACACTGTCTGCTGTGATAAGCCATATTGAGTAAACGGTGAATCCTTTTATGTGAGATAAATAAACACAATCACATTAAAACTGTTGCAAAAAGAAGGCCTAGATATTTAATGGATATCATGTTTGGATTTAATATATAACAAATGCTATTATCAGTGCCCCCTCTTTTTAGTTTTTGGTTCATTCCTTAAATTGCTTGGTGGCGTTTTCTCCTGAAACCAAAGGAAACTAAGACTGTTGATATAAATACAACTATTTCTGTCATTTTTATTTAATTGAAGATTAAATCATTCTCTGTCGTCACATAAAAGTTGCTTGACAGTATGAGCAGTGCTTCGACATGGTGAAAATTGGCTGTTTGGGATATTTTTAAGTGAATAGCTGTAAAAAGGATCATGTTTTCTTTTCAGTGCACCATCATTGAGTTGATAATTAATTCAACGATCATCTTTTGTATTAGAAGTCTGTGGTTCACATTGCATAATAGAGCTGACTAATGTAAATAAACGCATTCTAAAACCAGAAGACACAAAGAAAATCCCACATTTGCAGCAATTTAAGGAACACTGACATTAAGTCGTCCTTCATCCGTCATCCTAAACTGCTTCTAGACTTGAGGAAAGCCTTCCACTTTGATTGACTAAATCCCTGCAGCTACCTGAAGGCAGCAGGAGATGTAAAATGTGTGTTTTTATCTGAAACAAGTGCTGCATCAAAGAGCAGAGACATAACACGGCATGATCCACTGTGGTTACCAGGGTGCAAAAAGTCTGCATACACAAGGCAGGTCTGTTACAACATGGATGGTATATCTTGTGCATGTTGAGACCAAAATAAAGTGTAACAGTGGTATGGCAAGAGTAGAACAAATCCCCCACAAAACTCTCGATGGAGAGTCGAGTATCTGTCAGATTATCCAGCTGACAGTGAGGATATCCACACTGCAGGCTGACAACATGTGGTATGTCAGTCAGTTGTGGCTCCTACAGTAGAGGCAATGTGGAAATCTTTAGAGGGGAGGCCAGGTGGAGTTGGCATGCTTTGATTACAAACAGTGTTAATTATCACTCAATCAATCAGCGTTGGCCACTGCTGCACGAGCTGCCAATGCTTCTGCAAATCAACCCCCACTTTCCAGCTTTTTACAGCATTCAGCTAATTGCTCTGACGCAGAGACAACATGAAAACATTACAGTTGTCTTATAAAACCATCAGCTTCAACCATCACTGTGGACTAAACTGGGAATTAACACCTGTTAATATTACATCTACATTTGAATATAAACCAGATAAAGCTCTGATGCACAGTATTATGTTGATTTGTTCCCGCTGGATGTCTAAAGAAGGTTGTTTCTTTCTATAAAAATCAACAAAAAGAACGTCATAACCTACAAATATGTGGCTGTCAGTTTTTCTTTTAAGGCGTTCTGCTCCTTAGCGGTCAAAATGGCTTAATGCAACTTTTATTAGGAACGTAACGAGCAGTGCTGAGGCGAGAGGGCCTTTAAAATGTCCTCAGAGATGGAAGGCCTGTTCCTTAGGAATGAGGAATGAGTTAAGCAAGTACAAAGTGTGATTTCACACCTATAGTGAGGGTGGCTGCATGGTGAGTGGGTGGCACGGCTGTTACCCACACGATGCCAGTCTGCCAGGGCACCACCTAGGGCCCTGTACCCCCCCCCCCCCCCCCCCCCCTTCCCCCTCCCCCTCCCTTCCTGTGACGCCATGTTCCCCTTGCCCTGCAACACCAATGCCCATCTGCTTGGACACGTTAGCCTCTGGCGCCAGGGACTATTTAGCCCGGCGTAATTAGCCCCCAGACACCAGCAGCCTGGTTTTAAACAGATGTGGGGGAGGTAGCGCTTGCAAGGCGACTCAACGCGACCGAACAATGTTTGATAAGGAAGAAAAAAAAAAAAGGAAGGAGAGACAAGAGAAGAAGAAGTGACCTAGTTAAAGGGATGATGCAACTCATGTTACAGCAAAATGGGCAGTAATGATGACAGCCCCACTTGCTCGGACTGCCCAATGCCTCGGTTGAGGAAGGACGAGCAGCAGAAATCTAATTAGGCTTTGTCCATTTGCTCTACGACAAGCAAGGATGAGGAAATGAGCGCTTTTTAACAGACAGAAAGCCATGATCGGAACAAAGAAAATGCTTAGTCCTAACTCCCCAATGTGATTTCCCTATTCAAGTATCCTCACTGGGTTATTGTGCTCTGCCGCTGACCTTTAACAGGGGACAGAGGGAGGTTACTGTGGAGACGCCCTTGAACCTCATGACCGTAATCACACGTGACCGTAACGGCATTGACCTTTCCCCGGCCGTCTCCTTCCCTCCCCGCCATCTTTTTCCTCCTTCCCTTCCCCCCCAGGGTCATTTGAGGGTCCAGACTCTTGTCAAGGCTGTCACTCTAGACAGCCCTCTCCATCTACCGCCCCCGCTGTTGCCATGGCAATGGACGGCACTGCGCTCCGAGGACTGTGTGAGGGGGCAGAGGGAGCCAGCGGACGGATGAACGCTGCAGCATCTTTCCCTAACCTAGGTCAACCTTGCAGAGCTGGTGTAAGTGAAGGGTGGGGATAAACGCTGGCCATGCTGCTTGGGAACCAAATAAACTGGCAGGATAGCATCAGTGCAGGGATTGGAAATGGCAGAAGTGATGAGAGGAAGAGGGTGATGAAACAAAGAACATAGGTGGATGCAGTACAGTGGAGGAATTACACACTGCCCACATCCTCCCAGCTTCTCTCTGATTTAAAACAAAGGCCAGTTCTTAAATTAGTCTTCCCCCCCCTGTTGTTTTAAAGCAGTAATCATGTCAATGTTCCTCAAACGCACACACAAAAGCAAATGCACACACACACTGGGAAACGTGACCTGGGGGCAGGCAGTGGAGCAGCACACGTGAAGTACCACAGAGCTCCCAGCCAGCATGAGTCACTCCGAACACCGGTCAACTCGGAGAGAACAATGGCAACCGGTGTGTGAGGTGTCCGTCAAGCACACACACTGGCACAGGATGAAGAGCCGCGGAGAGTAACACCCCACTGCGCCACCACTTGTGCTTTTTTTTTTTTGACGGTATGGATGCATATTTGCACACGCTTGTCACATTGTTATGCTAATCATTACAATGTTGAAAGCAAAGTGGGTTTTTTTTTTCTAAAGGAGAGGTAGGTCATGAGGTCTGCTGGGTATTAGTTGAACTGAAATTTAAAAAACATTGCTTAATTTAGAAAATTGCATACAGTTTATTATTCAAATAAGGACAAATATGTGTATATCCCTAGGGAAGCCAGCTCTGTTGTTACATACTTCAGCGTGTGTCATCTTGACTGCCTGAGAGATGCACTCCAGCAGCCCACAGCGGACTAACACCTGTCCATAATACACTTGAACTTGACCTGGCATTCAGTAGTGATTTTGGAAGTAGGCTAAAAATAAGCAGTGGCTTTAAACTTTATTTAGCAGCGACACAGTGTGTGTTGTAATCGAAGAACAATGGTTGAAACAACAACACAAGAGCAGCAGCGCACACAAAGTGCTGCAAAATACATGACTAGGTTTGAATCCCTGTTACCAACATTCAGAGTTCAGACCTGAAGCTGTAAAGGCTAAATCATGCAGCATTGGATGATGTCAGAGTGGTCAATGCAGGTTGACACATGATACGTTTGAAATGTCTTACTATTAAACTGTTGTGGAAAAAGGGTTGAGTTTCAAGTTCATTATAGTAAGCAGATAAATCTACTGCCCTTTAATAGCTTTCAAGCCGTTGCACAAAACAAAGCTGAACAAAATCTATACGGACGTCTGGTTCACAGACACTAAGACGCATATACTGGGACTGCAGAGAAGCACCAAGACACGTAACTTAAATATCATCACAGAGAACACAAAGCAGCCACCATCTGGAGCAAAGGCCTCAGAGACACATCACTACATCACCACATATGCTTTCCCCCCACAGGTATACTTTGCTCACCTTTAAGAAGCCTCCAATTTGAGCTTGTTAAGGTGGAAAACAACAGAACCCTTTTATGGCAGTCAGAGTCACAACCTTTAGCCTAAAGCTAGCCTCCAGAGCTGCTATTAGCTGTTCTGAAACTCAAACAGCTGACCAGCACAAGGAATATCAATAACATGGCCTTTTTCTTAGAAATAGTATATAGGAGGTGACTGTTTTCAAGTATATTTGCTCTTATATAAAACTTAACACATACTGCATATGCACACAATTTCCAGATCAGTTTTCAAGGAACTCTGTAGATTGTTGAATAGGTCAGTTTGAGAACCATAAAGCTAATTAGCATCGCCCCCATTTAGATGCACAGATCTACAGTATAGATACATTATGTTCACAGCCTACCTGAGAGCTTCATGAGCAGCTCAGAGGCCACCTTAATGTTGATGTCCTGGTTCAGCAGGTTGTTCTTCATCATGGGGCTTCCTTCCCTCTGCTTCAGGGACCCCAGCCGCTCTGCTGCCCCCATTGGCCCGTTGTGGCAGAAAGTCGCAGGGAAGCTTGGCTGTACCTGGCTCTGGGACTGGGAGGAGGGCCTGGGGCTCAACGCTTCCTCCGCTTTGGGCTCCTCCTTCATGTGGAATGGAGACTTGAGCGTCTCCCTCTGGTTGGCCGCTGCAGGCAGAAAGCAAACAAATGTGAGGAATGAGAAGAAATGTTGAAAAGTATTTGAGGAGAGCCGGAAGAAAAAGGACAAATTATGTTTTTGGTAGGTTTTGTATGTAAAAGTATTACTCAAAAAGCTCTTAAGATGCTTCAATATCCTCCACAATATCAACAACACAGATTACAAAAAAGTAGGTCAATCTCCCACATTCACTATATAACTTGTTTCCTTGTTATCTCTTTTAAAAAGGTAAGCTCACATTCTGATTACTGCTCCTACTTATTTTGCCATTTTGAATGCGAGTTGACCATAAAAGGTCTTCCCTTTAAATGTGACATACATATCAAGCTTGCATGCACCCAAGGGTCAAATACTGCATTCTGTATACCACTCATCCTTCCTCTTGTGTTGTGCATCCATCTTAAGTTGATAGTGGTGCTAAGTGAGCAAACAATAACAACTTAAGTTCAGTGCAACATGCCACAGGGACATTAAATCAAAAGTTCTTATGGAGGAGGATACTTATGAAAATGAGTATGTATTTACACAAAATAAAGTATAACACGTATACATGCACATGTAGATTAAATGGCACAACAAAAGGACCCACAGTGGATTTGTACAGCCCCATCGCAGCAACAGTGGAGTGCTGTGGGCCGATACCGAGGGTACAACCTCATGACTGTCCTTCTCTCTCAGTCTTTAGGGCATCCGCATAAAATTCCCCAATTCATTTCCCTCCTCTTTTCTCCTTCACACTGCCCCCTCCCTATCCCATTAATTTCTGCACTCTTTATTCTCAGCTCTATTCTACTTTAAGTCTGGTTTCTTTATCCCGTCTCGCCCCGGACGTCGTCTGAATCCTCTTCAGACATAAGGACATAAAATAACTCCTGTACTTCTATAGAGAGAGATAGCAATCAGCTGACGTCTTATCTGCCATCTCTGCAGCCTAGGTTAGGGAGTGAACTGTCACATGGATCCCTCTGCTCTAAAGTCATCTTCAAGAGAAACTAGGCCACATCTAATCCGCCTTAGATGAATAATTAATAATTAGACATGGAGCAACTTCCGATAGCCGCCAAGAAAAGAACAGCGGGGCTAGCGCCTCTCTTTGTGTCTCTCAGCACATTCTACTACACTCTGTGCTAAAACGAAGGTTTACAGAAGCAATAGCTTACTACATTGTGATATTTACAATGGCTTTAAATATGTGAGAGTAGCTGGAGAAAAGTGTTTTAAAATAAAAGGTCTTTGCCTGTGCAAAATGACATGATATCTTCATTTGATTCAGTGCAACTATGGAAACTGTGGTTTAAGGATACTATTGTCCACTATTGTAACCTGATGTACAATGAGTGAACCAAGCCACTTTTCAGAAACAATTACAGCATTGTAAGTGCTTCATTAAGTGGATTGTCTGTTAGCAGAACAATACAGCACTGTTGCAAAATATATATCTTTACAATAAGCATAGTATTGAAAACATTTTAAAAGAGTCTTTTCAAAAATGTTTGTTATATAAATTGTAGATGAAGGTAGGGAAGCTCTGTCTGGTTATACGAATTAATTACCATTATATAAGTTATAACTTTATGACTTATTCGTTTTGATTAGATTATTAGCACCCACAGTAGAAGATGGTGGGGAAGCTTCTCTGCAGTGTTGTAATTTGCCAAAACAAAGAAGCTACTATGGATGAATAAATATCTGTATACGTGGTGTTGATTTAGATTGCTTCAGACGTGAGTCACAAACAGAGCCGCGTTGCTATAGCAAAGTTTAAGAGGCAGGCCCTCGCATGTGCAAATGAAAACCAAATGTGGCAAAGGTTGCTTTCTATATTTGTCTTTGTTAATTGTAAAACATATAAGCACCTCAAGAGTTATTTTCCCCCCACAGCAGAAAATCTATGTAAGATGTTAGATGTTATTCTAAGTAATTGAAAGGTATCCTTAAAATAAACTTAATTTGATGATGCTTTAACAGGCAGCTGCCAAGGAACTACACCGACAGTACAAGTTAAAGTCTGTAATATATAATGTTCAATTATGTTTAAATTCAAAATAAAATGTAGTTATTTAAATAAACGTACTTAATGAAGTTTGATTGTGGCTGAGTAGGGTTCCAACAAACAGATCTATGTGAACACACTTCACGACCTTTGACACATAAACATTTTTTAAACATTTGTACACTACTACTACTACCTGTCTCACACACACTCACACGCACACGCACACGCACATACATACACACAGGGTTTAGATATAAGAGAGGCTATCACTCTTGGGCAGACTGCTGTCCAGTCTCCTCTGGCCCCGGCAGAGATCCTCACCCGACCGTCTCACCTAACATCTCTACCCGCCACAGGCCTGCCGCCCCCTGCCCACATCATCAATCTGTGCTGGCTGCAGGCCCTCTGATTAATGATGATCTACGCCCGGAGGGATAGAGGGCTCAGGGACAGGGGGATATGGGGCAGGAAAGGGGACAGGTGCCATTGTTTTGACCACCTATGCCACAGTGCCACGCCATGGCGGGCCGAGGCTGCAGTTCAAGAGAAGGGAGAAGGAAGAGGTTCAGCGGTGAGGGGGGGGGGGGGGAGGTGGGCAGTGACCTTCAAGTTCAGGGGCAGTGGCGCAGGGTCGCACCCGGCACCAGCTGGAAATGTCACACCGTCAGATGTCAGCGGGCAGGCTAAGTATAACCTGGTCAGCACCTGGAAGGACGTCCTCTAATTAGAAGCGTGTTGGGCCATGTCGGATCAGACAGGGACAGCGCACTTGGTCACCGCCTTACAACCACACATCAAAATACACTATCCCATTAACACACGCAGACACACACACTTTTCTACATCTTAGGAATAGTCCACATACTACAGTACGCGTGCCTTGCTGCATTCAAGCCATACAAAAAATGCTGGGTTGCACATAACCCACTGACAAATACACACTGAACACAAACTTAAGATCCTCAAATTCTTCTCCTCTGTGGCCTCATGAGAACAAAAACAACCCCAGGACGTGCACTCATACACAAAGTCACACCACTCCAGTGACCTTTTGGATTGTCGCTATAAATAGAGTGTATTTCCACTCAGAATCTATGTTACAGAGCTCAATGAATTATTTAGTAGCCCAATCCGATGGGCAGGTTTTTTTTGTATTCCTCTAAACTGATGGCTCAATAACAGAAAGCCTGAGCACACTACCAACAGTAACACTTCAGCCTGCGATGCCAAGCTCACACTTTGGGCCTTTTGTCCGTCTGATTTTCACAATCACAATGGCATCATGCGCAGCAAGTTTCTGGCAGATCATCTTGTGAAGTGAACACAGATCTGTGGCGGCGATGGGCATCTCTGGGTGACTGGGCATTCCTTCTACGGGCGTCCTGTCTGTGTAGGTACGTAACGCAGGCCAATTCCAGCTTCCTGTGCGTGATACTGTAAGGTTAGCTCTAGCTCAGGGTTGACGATGCTATCAGTTTGTCTCCATGTTATCACACCCTTCTGACACCTGCCACCAAGGCACCTTTCATCGCCGTTCCCCTGTTTCGCTCCCCTTCACCGTGATTCTCTCTCGCGCCTCATCCGTCTCGCTGCCAGGCGCTTGTCCACTCCGCCTCACCTCTCGCTCCGTGGCCAGGGCTGCCGTCAAATAACTTCATTAGCTTTCCACCTCTGTCATGCCGGGCTGCTCCCCCTCTGACAATTGGCTGCTGTTTTCTCCCGGAGAAAAAAAGAAGCAGCACAGGGCTACATGGGGCAGGTTGAGAACCCAACAATAGCTGACAGTGTGCTAGACACTGGACAGTGATACTGATGGCTGCAGTGGGGATGTATGGACCAGAGGTCACAGACAAAAGGCCTGCCTGTGTCTGCTCATGCAGAGCTGGAGAGCAAGAGACATGCAGATGAAATCTAGATGTTAAAGTGACAGAAATATAGACCGGACATTTCCAAATTCTACTTTCTGTGTCAACTAAGATCTGGTGCAACGAAATCAAAGTACCTCTAAACTGCACGTCTCAACTACTACATTAAAAAGATGTGCATTGGTTTTTTCAAACACAATCCCACAAAAATAATGTCCAGATATTCGATAATGGATAAAAGACAGTGGAAAAAAATCTATGTTATCAAAAAAATATTCAAAGTACTCAAGGTTCGTCATGTACACTGATCAAATCAGTTTACTGTAACATGCTACATGCTCTCCCAGGAAAAAGATAAATAAGACAACTGCAGAATGACAGATGCAACACCTCCTACAACCCCCTGCATGCCAATTATTCACACCCTGCCAGGGTCAACTCGATGTGCCTGTGTCACCGCAGCAGGGGTTTGGGGATGGGGGGAGCCTTTGGAGGATGTGCAGTGCCCACTGTCATTATTAACTCAGGGTCCACTGGGCACAGGGTAGGGGCTGTGCATTTCAAAGTGCCTCTGCGGCTTTCATCTCTGAATCAAAATGTGGATCAGACTAGATAGCTAACGGTTGTGTCAGCATGCAAGGATAGAAATCAAAGGGTATCAGTAGAACACTCAATGGAAAGCAGAGCAACCCAAAAAAATGATATGCTTATGATGTCAGAGGTCAGGAAGAGTTCACTGGCTTGTTATGCCTGGGGAACTCAATTCAACTCCCTCTTTGCCTCTTCCTCTCTCTCCCTCACTTGCTGTCAATTTATCTGTCTCTCTTTTTTATAAACCCCCCACCACCCTCTCTCCTCCCTCCCTCTCCCAGGCCTTGTGGAATTGAGGCACTGAGACAGCAGTGTAAAAGCAGGAGGGATGAGCTGCTCGTGTACACATTCAATCTGGGTTGGCAGGGAGGTCAAAAGAAATGGAGTCTAGAGGTCCCAAGAGGAACTTCCTCACCTCTCCCTCCCCCACTGCTCCGTGGCACGGGTAAGTCTCACAAAGATCTGAGCCCAGTTCTTCACAGTTTCATAACCCGCCATCTATAACTCCACCCCCCAACAAAGGGAGAACTTTGTGATCAAACAGGCAGTATTCATTAAAACCCATCATCATGCATTCAAGTTCAACATCCTCTCGTCCTGTCTTTTTATATCCTTCCTCACTCTCCTTGAATGATGCCCTGACTAAGATGTCCGCCACTTGACACTGGACTGACATTGCGAGGAGCCATCTTGGCTCCTCTGGGAGTTGCCTGGGCTTGATTGTGCAGTCTGGGAATGAAGTGCAACTGGCACCCAGGGGGCATCCATTTGGAGCCCGGGCGTGCGAGATCGAGGGGGAGTTAACTAAGCCAGCAGAGTCCCCGTGCATCCTGGCGGGGTCACGGGATTGCGCTGAGGGCGCTAATCATTTCAAATTATGAATTCCTTTTTTAATTATGAATTATGCATACATTTTTAATTAATCGAATGTTCCCAGGGTTTTTTTTCTCCCATCCTCGCTCAAGATCTCAATCTAATTACACAGCATTAAGTGGAAGAGTGGCAGCCGTAGCCTCGACCCCGACGCTGAACCTCGGTCAACCTTTTTCCATCAATCTTGCCATCGTCTCCAAGCTCATCCATTGATAATTTGCAACATTGTGAAATGCATCTAAACACGGTCTGGAACTAGTTTACCTTAGAGCAGCATGTTTGTTAAGTTTGTTACAACAATGCTGTATAATCATATTAATAAAGCACCCTGCAACAAATACAAATGGCAGATAAATGTAATCACAAGTTAAAGGGGACCTATCATGCAAAATGCACTTTTGTAGGTCTTTTATACATGAACATGTGTCCCCGGTGTTCCAGGGAACTCACCAAGTGTCAGAAAACACAACCCTCTCTATTTTCCTCCATACCCAAATCTCTAAAAAAGGGGCTGCAACGGATCTGATAAAAACTGATCCAGATTTGAACACTGTCCTGACGTCAGGACAGTGGCGCTACGGCTATTGGGCCAACTCCACCAATCAGGAGGAGACAGCCACGGCCATTGCCGTTCGAAAGCGCTGGAGACGCTGTAGTACATATGCCAGGCCTGTAGATGGGGCTGTTCTCACAGAATCAGCCCTTGCAAAAACAGAGCTAAAAAATGTCAAATTGAGCAAAATGAGGCATGGCTAAAATGCATGATCTGTTTGGTATTTTGAAGGAAAAAAAAGTATAAATATGCCTTTATATAGGTATGGTCCTACACTATATTATTCAAATATAGCATGATAGGTCCACTTTAACTTCTTTAAAAATGTTCGAGAGATGATAGAAAATGAATTACAAATATTACTCATACACGTGTCACCATTTTGACAGTCATAATAAAACCGACACAGGAGAAATATGCCTAGAGGTTATATCTCTGATAAAATGTGAAAAATTAATCCCTCAACAACTATTGTGGAGGTGCCCTTGAGCAAATGATTCAGTCCCCAACTGCTTCAGTGGAGCTACAGTAATCAGGGTCCAACAGCAGAGGACTGAGGAGGTACTGCTGGCCGGGCAGACATCAAGTGTGATTTCAACTGTGCGCAAAAGGAGGAAAACATTCACAGCATTCAACCTTGAATTGAAAAAGAATCTCTAAAATGTTAGAAGTATGTAATATCATTTGGATATTGTAATGATATTTTTCAAGATTATACAATGTAGTTACAAAACAGACCATTTATTTAGCAGATTAGATATGAACATAGTGTAAATGCTCTGATTTGGGTCATTACTTTAGTGCTGCTCAGTGGTTCTTCAGTTGATTATTATGGGAAAACATATCCCCATCGGCCCTTAGCTAAGCATTGTGTAGCGGCAAGAAGACACAGAAGCATTATTTATCAAATGTAAGAAAAAAGCTACATTTTAGAATGTCTCAGTTTACTGAATCACTGAAACACTGTTACTATGCTAAGAATGTTTTCTCCTTTCTTTCTTCCAACACACCTTCATTATACACTACACAGAAGTGGCAGGACACAAGGAGTGTGCCTAATGTGATTTTCAACCTAATTATACAGTATATATATATATATATATATATATATATATATATATATATATATATATATATAGACAGTATGCGTTTTGCAAGACTACACAGAACTTAGCCCCCTTTTTGTCATGTAGGTGTCCCCAGTTACCGTATATGATGAACAGTCAGAGTGCTTGGTGCACATGATCTAACTTTTACATAAATGTTGCTTTTTGACTAAAATATGTGTGTCTGTTTAAAGTTTCAATGCTCAGCAGATTTCTAGGAAACTCATCTATTCATTTAAAATGGGGTTTTTCTGAGAGCTAAATGTAATCAATGTGAAAATAACCGTATCCGTTTGGTCAAATATACAGTATCATTTGTTCATATCAGAATCATAAGGACACGTTTTGAATTCTTTCAGTGTTGCCCTAACAAGTTTAAAAGGCATGTGGTACTTGTGAAAAGGCTAAAAGTCCATGGCCTATTTGTCTACAATACTCATGGGAGAGACACTGAAACCAAGGTTGTGAAAAACCCTGTGTACAAGTGAAGGCATCCCTGATATCCACCATGATAGTACAAGTCTGAGAAACAACAGCTCAAAAGCATGTGCCTGAGAGTAAGACCCATGCAGCTTTGGCACATGTTGTATAAACTATATTTAATTCACTGTGGAAAGGATTATTCCAGCAGGATTCTACTTTGTTTCCTCTTAATGCCCATAAAACGTCAAATCTCATTAATGTTTTTTGATAGTGTCAAAAGCTAAAACTGTCGATTCACTAAAGGTTTGAACTAAGTCTCATTTTAGGCTCTCATTGTTTTAAAATCCATTTAAAACGGCTCACAGAGAGAGACTGCGGCCTTGACCTGAAACGATAAACATAAAACTGTTTACACTTCTTAAGAATGTTATTTCTGGTGACAGTGAAGAATCAAAACAAAACTTATGGCAAAGGGGAGACAACATCTAGCTCGAGATCTGAAAATATGTCTTCACGTTAAAGTCGGGAAGAAGAGAAAATACTTTTTATAAAAGTGCAACTGCAATGACTGGAGTTATAAAGTCAAGTTGAGAAAATGGTACAACAAAAAAAAAAGGCTAGAAGTGTCTCTATCAACACTGAATTTCAATGTTTACTCAAAATGATATTGCATTTTCTTCTACTTTGAAATAATATATTTTCTTTCGTACTTTCACTTGTGTACATTTGACCGGCAAACCAACTGAATTGTTTTAAAACGTGAATATTTGATATTTTCTTGGTTTTCTGTGATATGAAACTGCATGCTTTTTACTTTTTGACTGTTTAAACAAAACAAGACATTTCCAGATGCCATCAAGGGCACTGCAAATTTATGACGGACATTATTTTTGCTATTTTCTGACATTTTAGTAGATCAATTATTAATGTAATTAAGCATTAGTTTCACGCCTAGAGACCACTGCATTTGTTACTTCATTAAAGAAAATGTAGCTGACCTGAAAGCTTCATAAGCAGGTCAGTGGCCGTCTTGGTAGTGATGTCAGGGCTGAAGATGGAGGCTATGGTTGGACCACTAGGACTGGATCTGAGCCCGGATCTGAGCCCGAGCCCGACCCCGACCCCGGGAAGGTCCAGGGAGTTGGCACTGCTGATGGGACGGTCCCTGCACATGCTGAAGGGGGAGAGCACGGACAGATCTCTCTCCTGCGGCTCCTCCTTGATGTGGACGTGATTGGACGAGGCCTCGAGCGAAGGGGACACCTGCTGCCGAGAGTCTGAGTGCAGCGGCGACATCTCCGTCCCTCTGAGGTCTGCGGAGCCGCTGTCACCCATCAGGGAGCCCTCGCCCTCCGTGTCCGTGGTGAGCTCTTCTTTCACCTTCACGTCTGTGCGGGGGAAGTGCTGGTGGCAGCGCATGTGAAGCTTCAGGCTGAAGTGTCGGGAGGAGGTGAAGGGGCAGAGTTCACACTGAAACGTCTCACCCCGGTCCTGGTGCTGATGTACCTGGGAAAGGGGGCAGGTTTATGTGTCAAATCCCTTTCTTTTTCTCTGGCACCACAGGACAGCAAGAGGATCGGACCCTTTGCTTAATTTCAGTTCCACTTTATCTACAACAAACATGCAGTAGAATTAGAATTGGGAGGGATGAAACCCTCTTTTAATGGTCACACATGCACACAGCACACACAGTGAAATGTGTTCTCTGCATTTAACCCATCCTAGTACCAGGAGTCTAGTACTAGGAGAAGTGGGCAGCTATTGTACAGCGCCCGGGGAGCAATGGGAGTGGGGGGGGGGGAAGGGGGGGTGTCCGGTGCCTTGCTCAAGGGCACCACGGCAGGGCAGGAGGTGAACTGGGACCTCTCCAAGTAGCAGTCCACACTCCACATTTTAGGTCTGGTCGGGGACTTGAACCGGCGACCCTACAGCTCCCAGTCCAAGCCCCCTACTGACTGAGCCACTGCCGGACAGTACGCTTTAATTGTGCCATGTAGAGGATATATTATACATTTAACTAAAGCATGCATACCCTTTAATGTTAACAATTATATTCCAAGAGCCATAATAGCCACTAATTAAACATGATGTGGTGGGAGGGGGGACAGGTGATGCAGGGGCATAAGATAAAGCAAATATAGATTATCTTACCTTCATGTGGGACTTGAGATTGTCTTTGCGAGCGCAGCGGAAGGGACACAAGGGACACTGGTGGCTTTTCAAGCCTGTGTGGATCACCATGTGTCTCTTCCAGTAGCTCTTGCGTTTGATGACCAGTCCACACACAGGACACTGGAACGGTTTGCCACCATCCTCAGGAGAGCCTTCAGGACACAAAACAACATTGTTAAGAGTAGGGTCATTAGGATTTTAGTGTGTGGAGAAGATACGCGCAATGTTGCTGAAATGCCGTTTTGTTAATGTGTAGAAATTAAAAACATGCCTTTACAAATACAGACTAGAATACTCACAAATCTGGAAGAGACAACTACCCCTCACCTAATGATGAAAACTATCAAGGGAAATGCCAGCTGGAGGCAATGGAACAATGGAAGTAAAAACTGAAGCATGTTTTAGTATCTCGATTATTGTTGTTGGCTTCATATCCGGCATCCATTACTGTTTAATTGGTCTTATTAGAAAGAGGCATGATTGCATTACAAATTCTACAAGGGACTGTCAGGATGGCTTCATAAGTATTCCAGTGCCGTTCCTTGAAAAACATCTGGTAATCAGTGTTTGGTGAAATTACTGTGCTCAGCCATTCATTGACCTGAGGTGTAAAACCTCGAGACTGCCTATTTGCAACAATAAACCGCCATCTGCGGCCCAACCTCTCCAAGCACAGCAGAGAACACAATGCAGAAATGACTTCTGCTTATTCTGAGCTGAGCCGAGTGAAGCTGAAATAAAACAGGAGAGGAAATGTGCGTGATTTTAGTACCTTTATCTTTGTACTTAACTCTTCTGTTCCCATCACAACCATGTTTTTTTGAAAAAAAGGGAAAAAGCTTTCTGTAGATATTTAAAGTGCAGAGCATGCCCGTGAAAAAGAGTTTTATAGTAGAACTGGCAAGGGACGACAATAAAACAAGACATGACAGTCAATAGTCAAGGTCACATTTTTCAGTCTGGCGACCAAACAACTACCTGCATTTTTTACAGCGCTGCTCGACCTTGACGTCTCGCGGGTTAGAGCAGACCCCCTCTTTAGCATGCAGATCACAGAATATTACATCGACTGCCTCATCTGTCTGAAGTCAATTTGATCCAGCCATTTTAGATTTGGTGGGGTTGCGACACAATCCGTCAAAAGTGCCCATCCATCTCCCTGAAAACATTCTATTCTCCCTAAAGGCTACTTAGCAAGAGCCTGCACTTTCAAGCTTTCCATCTCCCTGTGCAAGAGTGAGAACTTGGTGTGCACCCTTGTTTGGTCATATGTCTAGTACACACTTAGAGAATATACTGCATGGCCATTTGTGAGTAACTGAGACAGAGCATAAGGGGAAGAGAGAGGAGAGTGTGAGTGTGTGTGTGTGTGTGTGTGTGTGTGTGTGTGTGTGTGTGTGTGTGTGTGTGTACGCATCTGTATCCAGTCAGTGGAAAATATGATGTGTTTGGCCTTAAGTCTGCTGTGCTGATCAGTGCAGAGGGCTCTGGTTAGGGGGGTGAAGCCAGGAGGAGGCTGCCGAGATGGATATGGACTCCAAGGCTCCCCACTGTGCAGTGCACACACTGACGGCCCCCTTTTGGCAGCGAGCACATCCGAGCACAAACGAGCTGGTCTGGGAAGGCAGTGAGGTCTCAGTCGGCGCCCCCCGTCGAGCCCACAGACCATTTCCCAGACTAGAAGGCCAGCCAGGGCTGTTTTCTTTCGCCTGTGCTCTCTGCTCGACTGACAGTTAAGCTGAGGCTACACTACACTACTCGCTACTTCAGCGCCAGTGAGGCGAGAACAAAAACCATTGCCAAACGAGAGACAACATGTCATGGCAGTTCAGGATTGTGCTTTTTCTGAGAGTATTTTCGGCGACAATGCGATCCCACATTGACAGAGATTTTATCCCTTTGAAGTTGTGCTTCAATTGCAATATTAGTATCAATTTATAAGTACAAACTGTTTTAATTTGTGTGTCATGACATGAGTGGTAAATGCTGAAAGGGAAAAAGTATAATGACACAGGAGACAGTGCTTTTGAAATTCATGTGAACGAGACAGAGACGAAGGTTGAACGATGAAAACTTTCCATTATAAAATTCAGATGAAATTATCATGAACTTCACAGTCTGTCCTTTCTATACAGACATAAGGTCACTTTATTTAATGGTAACAACCTTTGTTGAGCTAATGCAAAGTATTTTAGTGTCAAGTAACTCTCCCTCACCAAGAAACAAAACGTATTTTCACTAGTTAAATATACAAAATGTGTATCTAACCTGTGCTGAACTCCAATAATCTTCTTATCAGTAAAGGTGCAACCATTCATTTTGTATGTAGCATAGACATTACTATGCATATAGTAATTGCTATTCATTTATGATTAATTAAGATTACCTGCTTGGCTGTTGGGTTTGCCTCTGCTATTTGGAGTAGAGGGCAACAGCATGTCCATGGTCTGCGTGGGTGTGGAGGGAGCGGTAGAATTGTGGTTCTTGTCCAGCAGGGGCTTCACATCCTCTTGGAGGACCCCAGCAGTCGCCAAGGAGGAACTGTCCTTCTTCTCTGCCAGCAGGTTTCCCGCCGCCCTGGCTGCCACCTCTTTGAGCAAGGCAGCAGAGGAGGTCATTGACACGAGAGACAGAAAGGAGCTGGCTGAGGATTGGTGGTCAGTCGCAGCGCTGGTCGTTGACGAGGCTTGGCTCCGCTCGCTGACTTTCTTGGAAAGGGCAGCGAGGGTGGAGCTAGCTGACTGTGGGCTGAACGGAGAGTTGAAGGCATCAAAGCGCACCACATCGTCCCCTCGGCCACCCCCTCCCAGGGTGGGTACTCCAGACGAGGCCGATGTGGAGGAGGAGGAAGAATTCGTAGACGAGGCGGCTACGGCATTCTTGTCTTGAAGTACAGCGTTTGCTGCTGCTTTTAACTTCTGGATGGCAGAGTCCGGCGACAGGCTGGAGCCGCAGGGCGTGGAGCAGCTGGCCGGCGGCCACTTATCTGCAACACCTGCCCATACAAAGCCACTGCCATTGCTAGGGGTGACTGAGTTAAAGGGATCGAGGGGCTCTTGCTTAATGTTGGTGACTGAGGGTGCCAAGGAGGCTGGGGAGGCTGAGCCGCTGTTGTTGTTGTTATTGGCCAGTTTTCGGGCAAGAGCACTTAGCTGCTGGGCATGGTGGGAAGACGGTGAGAGGGTCAAAGGTGGAACTAGACCTATTGGAGGAGACTCCCCCCCAGCCCCCCCCCCTGGATGACCGCCCCAGGAGCTCCCCAGTGTCAAGTTTCAGCGACCCGGCCTCTAGGAGGCGCCGCAGGTTGCTGCTGAGGGGTTTCCCCAGGGCGCGAGACGCTGCCTCACCGTACAGAGATGATACCACGGAGGAGAGTGTGTCCTGGGCCGAGAATGCATCTCCATCCAGTCCGAGAAGTTCCAAAGAGGCACGATGGACGGGTGTGGGGCAACCCAATGAGCTCTCACCTCCGCAGGTATCGTGGTCCCCGGACCCGCTGCTGACTCCAGGCCGTTCATCAGGAGACGAGCCCCTGGCCATGAGGAGCTCATCCTGCGTGTCTCCGTAGGACGACGACTCTGAGCGCGTGTCAGAAGCATTCCCAAACCAGCCTTCCTCCTCCACCGGACCGTCATCAGGGCCCCCTTCCTCGTTGCTGTCCACATCTGGAAGAGGGGAGAACACACAATTTACCAGAGGGCACAGACATAAATGCTGTGAAAGTATTGGTACAAAGGTATCACCATGATGCTCGAGTGAACCATTCGAGTAGGCAAACACTGGAGTATCCTAAATATGATTTGTGATCATCAAACACTTATTACTAAGGAGAAGCGTTAGTCATAGCCTCTGGATAAACAGTTTTTGGCAGTGGAATATTATTTTTTTACTATAAACCGTTATTATTTCTCATCCTTGCTCGTCTGGTGTTGCAGATAAATTGGTCATCTGTACTATGTGGAAGCTTAATTGGGATTTGAACATTCATAAAAACGAAATTACCTGCCCAACACCAACCTGATAAAAATACACTTCATTGCTCAGAAAGGAGACTATTAAAAAAGGAACACAGATTCAACCTCTCTTTTTACACAATGGCAGCTTTCCACAAGGCGCAAACAAGATGTTTGAGTAATTTAGATTTTTCTGTCCTTTTTTTAACCATATTTTTCCCACCCTTGGTCTGGAAGAGTCTAGTAAAGGGGTTACCATGACAACGGGTCCTTCTGGGAGGCTAGACAGCAAAGATTAGGGTAATGGAGGTTACAGAACTAGATTAATATTCATGAGCCTGCAGATACCACCGGGGAGCCAATAAGGATAGGGTTAAGGTCACCAAGGGTCATTAATATACACTTCATGTATCAATATTCATAAGAAAAACATTACAGCTTGCCAGACAAGGGCGAACAAAGAAAAGTGAATATTCCTGATACATATTAACAAACCTCCATAAGAATATGTCAAAAGCACAGAGCCTGGGCAAAACAAAATGTCAAAACTGACTTCTTTTTTTTTAACCTCCTCTTTGCGTTACTGTACACAACATCTGATAAGTAGAAACTGACTGAAGAATATAATTGAAATGTCTCACACACCAACATAGAGTACAGTATGTCCACACACACACACACACACACACGCACACACCAGAGCCGTCTTCACCCTCGTGACCCTGAGCCTGGTGGGTCTGCTCTCTGTTTACAGGCAAAGGCAAACTGTTGCCAGGCAACCCAGCCCAGCGACCTGTTGGGATCATTAGAGTCGGCTGACATCTGGCCAGCGTGGCTCGGCATGGCCCACAAAGGTGACCACTATCACAACCCACCATAACTGCTACTCTCCTGCTGCAACAGATATCAAACGGGGCTTACACACGTCCAGACAAGCTCTCGTGTTTCACACACATACGTCTTACATTTTTTCAGTAACACCATAACCAAACGCTGACAGGAAATGTCAGATGCCAAAAACCAAGGCAACGGATTATGTTATAATATTGGCCTTAGGGCTCTCCAGCCTTTCTATGAACCCATGTCTAATAGACTTCACCTACACAAACAACGCAAGATGTAAGAGGCTGATGAGCATAGATGTACAGTATGACCCCTTCGCATTTCTCATTACTGTTTAAAAAGGCAAATGAAAACATCTTAATGTGCCAATTGTGAGCCCAATTTTCCAATGCTCCTTGAAGCCATTTTGCCACCCGAGTAGGGTTAACAGGAATAAAAGAGAGGAGGAAAGAGCCTGTGAGTCACGCAGGGCAGGGCTTGACCTATTTCCATGTGACATGCGAAAAGCAGCAAGAGCCACTAATGGCTGTAATGTGGTTAGAGGGAAATCACTAGATTGCTGACCTAAGGTCCCAGCTTTGTGGCTGAACTCTTTTGCTTCCTAGGTTCACTCTTAAACCTCAGGGTTAGGTGCAGCTGAACGCAACACTACACCACTCGGCTTCTGTCAGAGTGCTACAGTGCACTAATGCACTCCACTACCATGGCTTTGTGTGTCACAGACGAGCCACCCCGCGTGGGCGGAATGACATTTCCCAAGGTCACGGTCTCCGGGCCTAATCTCTAAGGGGGGTTCGTCTGAGCTCTGTTCTCACAACTGCCGCTGTATACCCACCACAGGCACGGGGGCAAACAAATGCACGTGCATACATACATTTAGACCGCAAACCCACAGCAGAGAATGTATTTAATGCCGAAGTCTTCCCCCCACTGCATTTCTGAAACACATTCAACTGCTTTGCCTCCAATGCAGCGGCTGGCTCTGCGACAGTGACTGCAAACACCCAAAGTGATGGCGGCGAGCGTCTGCCACTGAAAGGGGACCATTTAGTGGTGTAATGGCGGGGATGACTTGCATGTTGAGACAAACAGCTGCAGGGTGCTCAGCAGTCTGGATCTGTTATCACTCACACACGGGTGATTCAGTGGTGCAGCGGCGGGGGATTTTCTCTCTGGTCCACTGAGATGTATAGCGCCACCACCACATTATAGACAAAGAGAGCCATAACAAGTCAAAGTGCAAGCTGAGGCTACATAAAGAAAAGGCTGTGAGGCCGGCTAGAACAAACTGCTTGAGCTTGAACAGAGTTGTACATTGAGCAGCTTAAATATTTTGATGTCGCACCTCTGTGACTTATAGTGGAAAACCTGAGTGTTGTGTTAACCGGTCACAAAAAAAAAGGGATAGCCTGTAACTACAGTTTATGAAACAGTTGGAGTTTACAGGTAGTGTACGTGTTCATGTTTCAACACGCAGTGCTGTAAACAATCTCCATTTGTGAACTTGGCAGGATTATTTTGGCCATTGTTTTTCTAGGTCAGAGAAGGGTGCATGTATATGTGTGTGCGTGTGCGTGTGCGTGTGCGTGTGTGTGTGTGTGTGTGCATACATGGGTGTTTAGTACAGGAGTCAGTCAGATTTTCCTTGTCAAACAGAACGATGGCTGGTAAAGTTAAGAGTGCGAGAGAAAAAGGAGAGAAGAGCAAGGGGACTGGAGTAAAGGTAGGTCAGGAGGTCACCCAGCACATGACTTGTGTGAGGCTGCTGACTAACATATTCCCTCTCTCTCTCTCTTTCCCAGACACACACACATACATATACACACACACACACACACAAAGCTATTCTGTGACTTAGCCAGGCATGAAAATTGGCCTCACTGACCCCAGGCTTAAACAGGGTAGCGGGAGAGGAGACGGGAAGGCGGAGGAAGGAAGGGACAGATAAAGGGATGGTTAGGGGAGGGGTTGATTTGGCAGGGCAGGATAGAAGAGGAGGCCATTAGCCGATTAAGGCTGGACAGGGGTGCATCAATACTGTGCCGATGTCAAAATGAGAGTCATGCCCACGAGCTAATATAGCAATGAGTAGGAGAAGCAAAGAGAGAGGGAGCACGAGCTCGAGAGAAGCAGTGCAGGTCAGGGAATCACAGAGATTGCTGAGCACAAAGCCATACAAAAAGAAGTAACATGAAAGACTGCCACAACATACCAAGACTAAAGCAATCACATCTACGCTGGCAAAATGATTAGGCTTACATCTTTTGTGCTATGACTGGGAGGGGGGAGATGGTGGTGGGCGTGTGTCTTTGGGGGTGGGTTAAGGAGGTAGAGCAGGGGGTGAGGACATAGGAAGGGGTATGGATGCAGTGAGGAAGGAGCCACGGCGGTAATTAAGTGTCCGGCTGGGCCCTGGCGGGGGTTGCCACGGCCGCGGGCTATGCTAATGAGCACGCCCGGCGGTCAGGACTGCCTTATTAGCGCCTGCTGGACAATATGGTGGGAGAGACGCTCTACTGGCGGGCTCACGTCTCTGCAAATGACTAACAGTCCTCTCGAGGAAGGAGGTAATTCCATTAATTGGGACACACTGGATCAGGATCGCTTCCCTTTTCCATAATCTCTCACTAGCTTGATCCTTTTCACGCCAACATGTTTTTTTCCCCTGTATATCCCTCCCTTCATCTCTTACAGTCTTTTTCCTGTCTCCTAAACTGGGAATAATATAATGTTAAAAATAAATAAAGCGCAGATGCTCGAAATAAATCCAGCTGGTTGTGTGGGAGCTAGCAGACATATAGCCCCCCCCTTCCTATTAAATTATACACCATCAATCTGTTAAATACTTTCTTTTGCAGCAGCGACATGATAATTGCTCCGAAGTTTATCCATGATGGAATTTCCATTAGGAAGTTGATGAAACATGACAACCAACAAGTGTATGAAAATGTCATACAATGAAGCAGGTAACTTGTTTACTTTTCATTAACTTGGTGATGGGGTGACATTTGACTTCTGGATATAAACCACACTTTGACATTAACGTCTTTAAATGAAAACTCTAAAAATCAACACTTCCTGTATACATGCCAACTGTATGTGTAGTCAATTATATAGGAGTTGTCAAAGCCATTACTTTAAGTGACTTCAAAAACTGACACCAATTTATCTTCCATGCAAGAGTGAACTAAACCATTAAATATTCCTTTTAGTAATTAATTATCTTGACGCAAAGGGTTGATCCAGGGAAAGAAATGCTCCTGTGTTTCATGTTAGACATTAAAACATTATGAAAACTCTATATCAACTCCTTCAGTTCAACAAATAACTATCTCTGTCATTGTGTACAAATAGTAATCATATTTTATTTGGAATCGGAGGTGAGACGATACACTCGGTGAGGATCAGGGATCAGGCATCATGGCTATATATAATGGCGGTTGAGTCGTATTGAAATGTAGTGCAAATTACCATCTGTGTATTTTCAGCCTTGGCCTCCGTGGTTTGTGGGCACTTTGGGCAGCGTGCCAGAGGTGAAACAGGAAGGAGAAGTGTTCTTGGAAGAGAATGAGACGACAGAGACCTCTGAAATTCCTCATTGCAGATGAAGTGCACTTTACCCCCTGGTTTATTTTTCCCTTCCAGTTTTAGCATCGCATGTAAAAAAGACTTGCTCATAACCTCAGATGTGTCATCAAAGCTATGGACCTAAACTGCTGGTAGGAGGGAAGTGGTACGTTTGTTGCATCTTTGCAGCATAAACCAACAAATTACAAATATTGTGATCAGGAGACAACAACTACATCTGATGGTGATTTTATTTGTCCTGCCTTCAATGATTCAGGCTGGACTGGAAAGTAGAGTACAAC